AATAAAAAGAAAAATAAAATAAAATCAGATAAAATAAATTAAAATAATAAAATGAAATAAAATAAAATGAAATAAAATGAAGTAAAATCAAATCAAATCAAATCAAATCAAATAATCAAATAAATCAAAATAAAATAAAATAAAGTAAAATAAAATCAAATAATAAATGAAAATAAAATAAAATAATATATTAAAAAAATTAAAATAAAATAAATTATAATAAAATAAAATAATAAAATAAAAGAAAAGAAAATAAAATAATAAAATGAAATAAAATAAAATAAAATAATAAAATAAAATAAATAATAAAATAAAATAAATAAAATTAAATAAAATTAAATAAAATTTAAATTCTTCACCCCAAATCCTCACTCTTCACCCCAAATCCCCACTCCTGGTCCCAAATCTCAGCTCCTGGCCCCAAATCTGCACTCGTAGCCCCAAATCTCAGCCTGTGGCCCCAAATCTTCATTCCTGGCCCCAAATCTTTGTTCTTAGCCCCAAATCTTCGTTCCTGGCCCCAGATTTTTGTTCTGGGCCCCAAATCTCCACTTCTGACCCCAAATCTCCACTCCCGGCCCCAAATCATCGTTCTGGGCCCCAAATCATTGTTCTGGGCCCCAAATCTTCGTTCTGGGCCCCAAATCTTGCCTCTTGGCCACAAATCTTCAATCTCGGCCCCAAATCTTCACTTCTGGCCGCAAATCCTCATTCTTGGCCCCAAATCTCAAACTTTTGCCCCAAATCTCAGCTCCTGGCCCCAAACCTCAGCTCTTGGCTCCAAGGCTGAACCAAGGTCCCCAAACCTGGGTGCAAATGGTCGAGATTTGGGGAAAACGGGCCAGATGTGGGTCCATGGGCATCAACAATGGGGTCAAGGGTTGGATAGAAGGACCTGGGGAACAGGGATGGGGCCAGGACCAAAATAAGAACCAGCAGGATGAGCCTCCCAACCCCAACCATCATGGGCGATTTTGGCACAGAAATAGGATCCGGAATCCTCGTCCTTGAGGTTGTTCATTGTCAGCGTCACCGAGCTCTGCCCGTTGTCCCTGGACATCCTGAACCAGCCCGTGACTGAATCCGCATAGTAGGTGCTGCCACTACTGCTTATAATTGCGACTACTTCCAGCCCCTGCCCGGGTCTCTGTCGATACCAGCCCTACCTAAAACTGCAAAAATCGAAACTGGACCCTGGGCAGAGGAGGCGCAGGGACCCCCCGGGGGGCTGGCGGTCCCCCCCGCACTCCAGCAGGGTCACGGCCGCCCGGAGCCCTGCGGGAAAAAGGGGAGATGGGGATGAGAAACCTGATTGGTCAAGGGCCGAAAAGCTGCTGTGGCCAGCTGGAAGAAGGGGCAGAACCCACCTGGGTGGAGGATGATGAACTCCAAGGGTCCCAGTTTGGGGCCCAGAGTCAGGATTTGGGTCAAGGGTTGAACTTTGGCCTCATCCCCATCTCCCCTTTGTCCCGCAGGGCTCCAGGCGGCCGTGACCCTGCTGGAGTGCGGGGGGCACCTCCAGCCCCCCGGGGGGTCCCTGCGCCTCCTCTGCCGAGGGCCCGGGTTCAGTTTTAGGAATTTTAGAATGTTCTGGATCCGACAGAGACCCGGGCAGTGGATGGAATGGCTCGCTGGAATCTACAAAACTGGTTCCAGCACCTACTACACGCCATTGGTGCAGGGCCGGGTCACGATCTCCAGGGACAACGGGCAGAGCCCGGTGACGCTGACCATGAACAACCTCAAGGACGAGGATTCTGCCACCTATTTCTGTGCCAAATGTTATAGCAGTGGCTGTGGTAATGGCGCTTATGCTTATGGTGTAGATGGTGGTTGTGGTCCCGAGCCCTCTCCTCTCTCTTCCCAAATATCTCAGAATTCTCTGATCCTTCCCTAAAATCCCCACTCCTCTTTCTCAAATCTTGACCTTTTTACCAGAAACTCCGCCCTGCTGCCCCAGCTTTTGGTTTCCCACAATTTTGCCCATTTCTCCCCAGTCTGTCCCTTCCCCTCCGTCCCAGTGCGGAACGGGGGTCACTCCAGGGCCCTTTGCACACAAAGCTTTTTGTGCAGCCGGCGCTCTGCCGCAGCGCCCCGAGGCTGAGCTGCCCTCTGCCAAACACAGATGTTCACAATGACCAAAACCAGGAAATTTCTGTTTCCTTTCCCGCCCCGCCTGGGCCCCGGCAGCTGCCGGGGAGGAAGTGGGGGGAGGCTGCAGAGCCCCAAAATCGCGGCGTCTTCTCCTCCCACCCTCCCTCGCTCCCACCTGGGGCTTCACTTCTCCCTCAGCGGCCTCGGTGTCTGGTGCTGCTCCTTGGGGCTGGGCTGGAATCCTCTCAGCGAGCTCTGGAGAAAAAACCCTTTTTTAACCAAAAACACCTGAAACATAGGGGAGATGAAACTGTTTAAACTGATCACGAGCCAAGGACTCCATGCTGTGAGAAGCAGATGGGTGCAAGGGTGGAGTCACCTGGAACGTTCCATCGGTGAAGGGCTGGGTCAGCACGGCCAGGGACAGCGGGCTGAGCTCGGTGACGCTGGCCATGTGTGAGCACAGGGGAGAGGTCTGGGGACAGCTGAGGACACAAATATGCGGACAGGGCCAAAAGCACCGGCAATATCAGCATTGCCACCAGAAATACGCTTGGCACCGAAATAGGATCCTGAATCGTCGTCCTTGAGGTTGTTCATGGTCAGCGTCACCGAGCTGTGCCCATTGTCACTGGAGATCGTGACCCGGCCTTTGACCGACGGCACGTAGAAGGTGTTGACACCATCAGCATTGATCCCAGCAACGAATTCCAGCGCCTGCCTGGGTCTCTGGCGCACCCAGAACATTCCAAAACTCCCAAAATCGAACCCGGACCCTCGGCACAGCAACGTCAGGGACCCCCCGGGGGGCTGGAGGTCCCTCCCACACTCCAGCAGGGTCACGGCCGCCCAGAGCCCTGTGGGACAAAGGGGAAATGGGGATGAGGCGATGCAAAACTCAGGCAGAACTGCCCAATTAATTAATGGGTGGACTGGGGCTAATTGCAGTGTTGAAGGCACTTCTCCATACAGGAAACCTCTGTTAGATATTTAAAGCCAGACAAATGGAGTATGGGGCAAAAGCGGTGAAGGTTTGGGCATGTGGGAATGGCCGTGACCCTCTTGGAGTGCGGGGGGGACCTCAGCCCCCTGAGGGGTTCCTACGCCTCCTCTGCCGAGGGTCCGGGTTTGATTTTGGCAGTTTTAACATGTGCTGGATGCGCCAGAGACCCGGGCAGGGGCGGAATGGGTGGCACGGATCACCAGCAATGGTGTCTACACCGGCTGCGCGCCATCGGTCAAGGGCCGGGTCACGATCTCCAGGGATAACGGGCAGAGCTCGGTGACGCTGACCATGAACAACCTCAAGGATGAGGATTCCGGATCCTATTTCTGTGCCAAACATGCTGATAATGGTTGTTGCAGTCCTGGTGCTTATAGTGAAGGTGACAGTTGTGGATCCAGCCCCCTCTCAGTGTCTCCCCCTGTCCCCAAACCGAGACCCTTCCCCCAAACCTCACCCATTGACTCAGCCCTTGACCCTTTGTCCCCATTTGCCCCAATGGTCAGCACTGACCCCAAACCCTCCCCTGCTCCTGCCCCAACACGCAACCATTGGCCCCAAACCGTCACCCCTTGCCCCCAGTTCAGGCCTCCTCCAATCTGGGCACGGGAACTGGGGGAGATTTCGGTGAAATGGGCAAAACTGGGGGAAAGTCGAGAGTTGGGGCAAAGATGGTGGACACTGGGGGTGAAGGTCAAGAATGGGGTCAAGGGTTGTGATTTGGGGCAGGATTTGGTGATTTTGGGACATTTGGGGAGCCAGGGATGGGGGTTTTGGTGCCACCACCAGCATCGTCACCATGTCCAGAGCTCCCAGAGAGGATTCCAGCCCAACCCCAAGGAGCAGCACCAGACACCGAGGCCGCTGAGGGAGAAGTGAAGCCCCAGGTCGGAGCGAGGGAGGGAGGGAGGCAGGAGAAGACGCCGCGATTTTGGGGCTCCGCAGCCTCCCCCCACATCCTCCCCGGCAGCTGCCGGGGCGCGGCCGGGGCGGGAAAGGAAACAGAAAGTTCCTGGTTTTGGTAATTTTGAACATCTGTGTTTGGCAGAGGGCAGCTCAGCCTCGGGGCGCTGCGGCAGAGCGCCGGCTGCACAAAAAGCTTTGTGTGCAAAGGGCCCTGGAGCGATCCCCGTTCCACACTGGGATGGAGGGGAACTGGGGGAGATTCGAGAGAAATGGGCAAAATTGGGGGAAACCAAAAGCTGTGGCAGCAGGGGTGGAATTTATGGGGAAATGGTCAAGATTTGAGAAACAGGGGTGGGGATTTTAGGGAAGCATAAGAGAATTCTAAGATATTTGGGAACAGAGAGGAGAGGGCTTGGGACCACAACCACCATCAACACCATAACCAGCACCACCACCACCACAACCACTGCTGTAACATTTGGCACAGAAATAAACGGCGGAATCCTCGTCCTTGAGGTTGTTCATGGTCAGCATCACCGAGCTCTGCCCGTTGTCCCTGGAGATCGTGAACTGGCCCTTGACCGATGGCGCGTAGTGGGTGTTGGCACCAATGTAGTAGATGCTTGCGACGTATTCCAAAGCCTGCCCGGGTCTCTGGCACATCCAGAACATGGAGAAACCCCCGAAACTTTACCCGAACCCTCGGCAGAGGAGGCGCAGGGATCCCCCGGGGGGCTGGAGTTCACCCCCGCACTCCAGCAGGGTCACGGCCGCCCGGAGCCCTGTGGGACAAAGGGGAGATGGTGATAAGAAACCTGATTGGTGAAGAGTGCTCAATTTCGCATGACATGCTTCAAAAATGGGGCAGGACGCACATGGGTGGAGGATGATGAACTCCAAGCGTCCCGATTTGTGACCAAGATTGAGGACTTGGGTGAATGGTTGAGCTTCGGCCTCATCCCCGTCGCCCCTTTGTCCCGCAGTGGTCCGGGCGGCCATGACCCTGCTGGAGTGCGGGGTCACCTCCAGCCGCCGGGGGGTCCCTGCGCCTCCTCTGCCGAGGGTTCGGGTTCAGTTTCGGAAGTATTGCCATGCAGTGGGACCGACAGAGACCCGGGTAGGGGCTGGAATTCGTCGCCTACATCAGGAGCGATGGTTCCAACATTTACTTTGCGCCATCAGTCAAGGGTTGGTTCACAATCTCCAGGGACAACGGGCAGAGCTTGGTGACGCTGACCCTGAACAACCTCAAGGACGAGGATTCCGGATCCTATTTGTAGGCCAAGGGTGCCTACAGCAATTGGGCTGCTAACGCTGATCGTGTTCAACCCATGCTCTTGGCCCACCCAGACCGACTGTCCCAGACCCTTCTCCCAAACATCAGCCCCTGACCCCATTCCTGACCCCATGTCTCAACCCTGCGCTGGCTCGGCCCCAAATTCTCTGCTCTTGACAACAAAGTTGACCAAAATTTTGACCCAAATCTTGACTGCCAACTTCGGAGGAAAGTTTTGGGGCACAAAGTGGATATTTGGGGTCAGGAGTTGTGGTTTGGGGTCAGCGGGTGAAAATTGGGGCTGAGGCAGAGCAAGGTTGGGATCAATGGTCAAGGGCTGGGTGTGGGCTGGGGGTCTGGGTAAAGGGTCTGGGCAACGGGGACGTTGGGGGGATATGGAGATGGGGATGGGGACAGCACCGGCAGTGTCAATATAACCAGCAGTAGGAGCAGCAGCAGCGTCATCAGATTTGGCACAGAAATAGGATCCGGAATCCGCGTCCTTGAGGTTGTTCATGGTCAGCGTCACCGAGCTCTGCCTGTTGTCCCTGGAGATCCTGAACCGGTCCTTGACTGACGGCGCGTACTCGGTGTAACCTCCATTGTCACTGATCCTTGCAACAAATTCCAAACCCTGCCCGGATCTCTGGCGCATCCAGCCCATCCCAAAATTGCCAACACTGAACCCGGACCCTCGGCAGAGGAGGCGCAGGGAGGCCCCGGGGGGCTGGAGGTCCCCCCCGCACTCCAGCAGGGTCACGGCCGCCCGGAGCCCTGCGGGACAAAGGGGAGATGGTGATGAGGTGATGCAAAACTCAGGCAGAGCTGTCCAATTAATTAATGGGTGAACTGGGGCTCATTGCAGGCTTGAAGACACTGTATGATACTGGGCTTCTCTCTTGGAGATTTGGGGCCAGACAAAGGGAATTTGTGGCAAAACTAAACTAAAGGTTTGGGGATGGGGGAGCGGCCGTGACCCTGCTGGAGTGCGGGGGGACCTCCAGCCCCCCAGGGGGTCCCTGCGCCTCCTCTGCCGAGGGTCTGGGTTCAGTTTTGGGAGTTATGGAATGTTCTGGATGCGTCAGAGCCCTGGGAACACGCTGGAGTGGCTCTCTGGGATCTACGGCAATGGTGTCAGCACCGACTATGCGCCATCAGTCAAGGGCCGGGTCAGGATCTCCAGGAACAATGAGCAGAACTCAGTGACGCTGACCATGAACAACCTCAAGGACGAGGATTCCGGATCCTATTTCTGTGCCAAATGTTACAGCAGTGGCTCTGGTAATGGCGCTTATGCTCATGGTGTTCATGCTGGTTGTGGTCCCAAGCCCTTTTTTCTGTGCTCCCAGGTATCACAGAATTCTCTGTTCCTTCCCCAAAATCCCAGCCCTTCTCCTGAAATATCAGCCCTTTTCCCCCAAACTGTGCCCCTGCTATCCCCACTCTCGACTTTCCCCAAATTTTGCCCATTTCACCCAAATCTCCCCCAGTTCCCCGGGCCCTGATTGGAGGAGGCCTGAACTGGAGGCCAGGGGTGAAGGTTTGGGGCCAATGGTTGAGTGTTGGGGCAGGAGCAGGGGAGGGTTTGGGGTCAGTGCTGACCACTGGTGCAGATGGGGACAAAGGGTCAAGGGCTGAGGTTTGGGGGAAGGGTCTGGGGTTGGGGATAGGGGGGGCTCAGACAGGGGTGGTGCCACCACTGGCACGGTCAATATAAGGAGCAGCAGGGTTACCACCACCACTCTCCTTTGCACAGAAATAGGATCCGGAATCCTCATCCTTGAGGTTGTTCATGGTCAGCGTCACCGAGCTCTGCCCGTTGTCCCTGGAGATCGTGAACCGGCCCTGCACCGACGGGGCGTAGGCGGTGCTGGAACCAGCTGGGCTGCTGATCCCCGCGAGCCATTCCAGCCCCTGCCCAGGTCTCTGATGAATCCAGTGCATGGCATAATCCCCAAAACATAACCCGGACCCTCGGCAGAGGAGGCGAAGGGACCCCTCGTGGGGCTGGAGGTCGCCCCCGCACTCCAGCAGGGTCACGGCCGATCCCCCATCCCCAAACCTTCACCAGTTTTGCCCCAAATTCCCTTTGTCTGGCCTCAATTCTCCAACAGAGGTTTCCAGTATTGTTATGTGCCTTCAACACTGCAATTATCTCCGACCCACCCGTTAATTTATTGCACAGCTCTTCCTGACTTTTGCATCGCCTCATCCCCATCTCCCCTTTGTCCTGCAGGGCTCCAGGCGGCTGTGACCCTGCTGGAGTGTGGGGGGGACCTCCAGCCCCCCGGGGGGTCCCTGAGCCTCCTCTGCCGAGGGTCCGGGTTCAATTTTGGGCTATTTGGGATGGGCTGGATGCGACAACGACCCGGGCAGGGCCTGGAATTCGTCGCAGGGATCGCCGACACTGGTGGGAACACCGGCTACGCGGATTCAGTCAAGGGCCGGTCCAGGATCTCCAGGGACAACGGGCAGAGCTCGGTGACGCTGAACACGAACAACCTCAAGGACGAGGTTTGTGGATCCTATTTCTGTGCCATTCCTAATTGTAGTTGTTGCTGGGCTGCTGGTCACAATGGTGACGATGTTGGTGATAGCCTTCAGGCAATGCTTTTTGCCCCGCTCCCTTCATTTTTTTGCCAAAGCTCTGATTTTCATCCCAAACGTCTCTTCTTGATGCACTCTTTGACCTTTTCACTCCATTTGCAACAACAGTGGCCACAGACCCCAAACCCTCCCCTGCTCCTGCCCCAAAACTCAACCATTGGCCCCAAATCTTCACCCCTAAACTCCAGATCTGGCCTCCTACAATCAGGACCTGGGAGCTGGGGGAGATTTGGGTGAAATGGGAAACACTGGGGGAAGTCGGAAATTGGGGCAGCAGGGGTGGAGTTTTGGGGAAAATGGCCGAGATTTCATGGAAATGTGAGGGATTTGGAGGAGAGATCACAGGACTCTGGTTCATTTGGTAACAAAGTGGAGGGATTTGGAGCCAAGGCCAGAGCCAGCAACAAATGCAACACCAACAGAACCATCACTATTGGCAAAACCACCATCATCACATTTGGCACAGAAATAGGATCCGGAATCCTCGTCCTTGAGGTTGTTCATGGTCAGCATCACCGAGCTCTGCCCGTTGTCCCTGGAAATCGTGACCTGGCCCTTGAATACAGACGGGTATCTGGTGTATCCATCGCTGTCAACGCCCGCGATGTATTCCAGCCCCTGCCCGGGTCTCTGGTGCATCCAGCCCATCCCAAATTGTCCAAAACTGAACCCGGCCCCTCGGCAGAGGAGGCGCAGGGACCCCCTGGGGGGCTGGAGGTCCCCCCCGCACTCCAGCAGGGTCAAGGCCGCCCGGAGCCCTGCGGGACAAAGGGGAGATGGGGATGGGAAACCTGATTTAGCAAGCAGGCAAGAAGGGGCGTGGCCAGCTGGAAAAAAGGGGCGGAGCCCACCTGGGAGGGGCAGCAGGATCAGCAGTGCCAGGAGCCGGAGGGAGCTCGAGGCCGTGGCCAGGATGTGCCCGGGTTGGGGTCCCGGGGGGAATTGGAGGTCGTTAACAGTGTATTAACTGTGTAATCAATGCAGTATGCTCAGGATGAGGTGTCCAAGTAATTAAAGAATGGATTGGGGTTAATTGCAGTGTTTGAGGAATGTTGAGATATGGAAAACTCTGGTGGAGTTTTGGGACCAAATCAGGGGAGTTATGAGTGAAACCAGTGAAGATTTGGGGATGGGCTCCGGGCGGCCGTGACCCTGCTGGAGTGCGGGGGAGACCTCCAGCGCCCCGGGGGGTCCCTGCGCCTCCTCTGCCGAGGGTCCGGGTTCAGTTTTGGCCAATTTGGGCTGGGCTGGATCCGCCAGAGACCCGGGCAGGGGCTGGAGTGGCTCGCGGGGATCACCAACACTGGTGGAAACATCGGCTACGCGCCATCGGTCAAGGGTCGGTTCAGGATCTCCAGGGACAACGGGCAGAGCTCGGTGACGCTGACCATGAACAACCTCAAGGACGAGGATTCCGGATCCTATTTCTGTGCCAGGGCTTTTTGTGCTGGTTGTTGGGCTTTTGCTAATCATGGTGACAATGCTGTTGATAGCATCAAACTTCTAGTTTTTGCTCCTGTCCTATCATTGGATCTCCAAATTTTCGATTTTCGTCCCAAACCTCACCTCTTGTCTCAGATCTTGACCCTTTGTCCCTATTTGCATGAATGGTCAGCACTGACACCAAACCCTCGCCTGGTTCTGCCCCAAAACTCAACCACTGGCCCCAAACCTTCTCCCTGACCCTTTGTCCCTGCCCTGCCCCCGTTACCCCAACGCTGCCCATTGGCCCCAAACCCTCCCCTGGGTCTGGCCCCAAACTCAACTCTCGGCCCCAAATCTCGCCCTGGTCCCCTCAAAGTGCCCAAAGGGCTGAGATTTTGGTTGAAATTTGGCAAATTCTGGCACCAACTCAGTTGGGTTTGGGGCACCGCCAGATGGGGTTTGGCGTCTTTGGTCACCATGGGTGGAAATGGGGCAGATCTGGGACAAAGGGTCAGATGATGGGACTGGGGTGTGGGGGAAGGGTCTTCGGCTTTGGGGACAGGTGGGGACACAGCGATGGAGATGGATCCACCAATGGTGCATTTACAAATTGCAGGAGGGCCCCAATTATCAGCATAAGCACGTTTGGCACAGAAATAGGATCCGGAATCCTCGTCCTTGAGGTTGTTCATGGTCAGCGTCACCGAGCTCTGCCCGTTGTCCCTGGAGATCCTGAACCGTCCCTGGACTGAATCCGCATACCCGGTGCTCGAACCATCGTTCCTGATCCCAGCGACCCACTCCAGACCCTGCCCGGGTCTCTGGCGTATCCAGTGCATGGCAAAACTGCCAAAACTGAACCCGGACCCTCGGCAGAGGAGGCGCAGGGACCCCCCGGGGGGCTGGAGGTCCCCCCCGCACTCCAGCAGGGTCACGGCCGCCCAGAGCCCTGCGGGACAAAGGGGAGATGGGAATGAGAAACCTGATTGGCTTCTGACCAGAAGTGAACATGGCCATGCCAGAAAAAGCGTGTGGGACCCAACTTGGAGAGGCAGCAGGAGCAAAAGAACCAGGATGGGATGGTCCATGGTTCACAGTTTGGGGCCAAGGGTCAGGATTTGTGTCAAGGGTTGAGCTTTGGCCTCATCCCCATCTCCCCTTTGTCCCGCAGGGCTCCGGGCGGCCGTGACCCTGCTGGAGTGTGGGGGGGACCTCCAGCCCCCCGGGGGGTCCCTGCGCCTCTTCTGCCGAGGGTCCGGGTTCAGTTTTGGGAATTTTGACATGTACTGGATCCGCCAGAGACCCGGGCAGGGGCTGGAGTGGCTCGCAGGCATCTACAGCAGTGGTTCCAGCACCGCCTATGCGCCATCGGTCAAGGGCCGGTTCAGGATCTCCAGGGACAACGGGCAGAGCTCGGTGACGCTGACCATGAACAACCTCAAGGACGAGGATTCCGCCACCTATTTCTGTGCCAAGAGTGTTCGTGCTGGTGCTGGTGCTAATACTGCCTATGCTATTAGCTCCTCCCCCATGGCTGGGCCCCCTCCTGTCCCCGTTCCCCTGGCCCTTCCCCCAAACCGCAGCCCCTGACCCCATTTCCTCACCCTCTGTCCCAGCCCTGCTCCGGCTCTGCCCCAAATGTCCCCTCTGGGCCACACTCAGTGCCCTCGTTCCTCAAATTATGTTTAATTTTTCAAAATTTGGGGCCAAAGTTAAGGTAAGGAGTCAAAAATTCAAATTTTGGCCCGAAATTCCCGATGTCAGTCCAATGGGCCAGATTTGGATCTGTGGCTGTGACTTGGTGCCTGCAGGAGAGATTTGGGGGAAAACTGGACAAGTCTGGGGGCAATGGTTGGGATTGGAGGGACGAGGCCGAGCTCAGAGTGAAACCGGCCCTGATTTGGGGCCAGGAGCTGAGATTTGGGGCCAGGAGCTGAGATTTGGGGCCAGGAGCTGAGATGTGGGTTCAGAGCAGGGCAAAGTTGAGACAAAGGGCAGGAGTGGGGTCAGGGGTTGGAGGGAATTGTCTGGGAAACGGGGGCAGGTGAGTCCCAATAGCTGGCCAATAGCACCAACATTATAACCACCAACAGCAGCAGCAGCAGATTTGGCACAGAAATAGGATCCGGAATCCTCGTCCATGAGGTTGTTCATGGTCAGCGTCACCGAGCTCTGCCCGTTGTCCCTGGAGATCGTGAACCGGCCCTGCACCGAAGGCGCGTACATGGAGCTCCAGCCCTCCTTCCTGATGCTCCCGACCCATTCCAGCCCCTGCCCGGGTCTCTGGCGGACCCAGAACATGGTGATACCGCCGACATCGAACCCGGACCCTCGGCACAGCAATTTCAGGGACCCACCGGGGGGCTGGAGGTCCCCCCCGCACTCCAGCAGGGTCACGGCCACCCGGAGCCCTGCGGGACAAAGGGGAGATGGGGATGAGAAACCTGATTGGCTGTGGGCCTGCATTGGGCAAGTCCAGCTGGGAAAAGGAATTGCACCCACACGGTAGGGTGACCAGTGTGAGGAGGAGAAGGACAAAGTGCCACAATCTGGGGCCCAGAGTCAGGATTTGGGTCAAGGGTTGAGCTTTGGACTCATCCCCATCTCCCCTTTGTCCCGCAGGGCTCCAGGCGGCCGTGACCCTGCTTGGGTGCGGGGGGACCTCCAGCCCCCCGGGGAGTTCCTGCGCTCCCTCTGCCGAGGGTCCGGGTTCAGTTTCGGGAGCTATGACATATTCTGGATTCGCCAGAAACCCGGGCAGGGGCTGGAATATGTCGCAAGGATCCACAGCAGTGGTGCTTACGCCGACTACGCGCCATCGGTTAAGGGCCGGTTCACGATCTCCAGGGACAACAGGCAGAGATCGGTGACGCCGACCATGAACAACCTCAAGGACAAGGATTCCGGATCCTATTTCTGTGGCAGAAGTGTTGTTGGTAGTGCTGGTTGGAACGCTGCTGCAGGTATTGGTTACTCTCATGTTTAGGTTGCATTTGGCCATGTTCCTGTTCCCCGGTCCCCACCTATCTCCATTCTCTGGACCCTTCCCCAAAACCCCAAGCCTGGACCCCATTCCTGTCCCCATGTCCCAATCTTGGAGTGGTTCGGCCCGAAATCCGCTCTCTGCACATTACTACAAAGTTGACTCAAACCTTAACCCTTGGCTTGAAGTATCCACTTTCAGAATCAAGTTTTGGGGCACAAAGTGGACATTTGGGGTCGCGAGTTGTGGTTTGATGTCAGGGGGTGAGATTTGGTGCCAAGGCAGAGCAAGGTTGGGATCAATGGCCAAGGGCTGGGTGTGGGCTGGGGGTCTGGAGGAAGGGTCTGGGCAACGGGGACGGGGGGGACGAGGAGATGGGGACAGCAAGGGCATCGTCACTATAATCAGCAGGAGCAGCACCCCCAGCACCAGGAGCTTTGACACACAAATAGGATCCGGAATCCTCGTCCTTGAGGTTGTTCATGGTCAGCGTCACCAAGCTCTTCCCTTTGTCCCTGGAGATCCTGAACCGGCCCTTGGCTGACGGTGCGTACTCGGTGTAACCTCCACTGTCACTGATCCTTGCGACGTATTCTAGCCCCTGCCCGGGTCTCTGGCGGATCCAGCCCATCCCAAAATTCCCAAAACTGAACCCAGACCCTCGGCAGAGGAGGCGCAGGGACCCCCCGGGGGGCTGGAGGTCCCCCCCGCACTCCAGCAGGGTCACGGCTGCCCGTGTTGGAAAAGAAATGAAATTGCGCAAAATGTGTAATTATAGTTTAGTTATGAGTTGTGTGTGAATTGGTTTGTTAAAAGCAGTTTTGCAGTTTTGCAGCCGTTGATAGTGTGTGTTTTTGGTTTGTGTGTAACTTAGCAGGTAGTCTTAGGAATTTAGTAAATAATTAAACTAGTGCAGGAGTGTAAGAATGCTAACTTGTCTGAAGGCAGCATACAATGCTCTTAGAATAAGATAAGCAGAAGATTTATGATCTTGCCTGTGAACTAAGGAATGTATCACAAGGGAACTGTTTCTTGGAGACTTTGTTGTGAATCGCATATATAAGAGGGAAGCACCCATATGTGAAATCGGGGGCTTGGGTTTTTGGGACGTGAGTCCCTCAGCACCCCGGGCCCGTAATAAAGCACCCACAAAACTTATCCGAGTTTTGTGTCATTTATCAATCGGTCAACAGTTTTTCTGGCGACCGTGGCAGGACTCCAAAGGCAGCTGGGGCGGTTCCGCGTGCCGATCCACTCCAAGCCGGCACCGAGCATTTCTCGGGGAGACATCGGTTGTGCCCGACCCCGCGCCTGTTGGGCAACTGCCAAGGTAAGCCTGAAGGTGCTTTATATTGGAAAAAGGTGATAATTGGATTTGGATTTGGTGGTTGGTAAAAAGCCTAGGCTCCGGCCATAAGACGTCTAAGGATGCAGGACCGGAACTCGCCTCCTGTTTTTGTTTGGGAAGGACGGCGAGAAGGTATATTGGTTTAAGGTGTATTGGTTTACTGGAACTAAAGGTGGAATTAAAGGCTGTAATATGATGTCTTTTAAAACTTTTAAAACCTTTGCGCAAGCCAATGGTAAAATACCTGGAAATACACCATTAGGTTGTATATTGAAACGGTGGAAAAGTGAGGGGTATTATCAAGAATTGGATAAAAGTAAAATGATAGATTATTGTAATCATTGTTGGCCTGAATGTGAGATTGGGCAAGCGGGATGGCCGGTGAATGGTACACTGGAATTGGAGATAATGGAATCTTTGATGCAATTTTTAAGGAGAAATGAGAAATGGGATGAAATACCATATTTGGATTTGTTTTTCGTTTTGTACCGGAAAGATGAATGGCAAAAGGAGTGTGGTATTTTCGTTTTAGAAGTGAATGATGAAAGGGAGTGTGTGGGATGTAAAGAAAGAAAGGAGCGTAATTTGTATCCTTCAGTTGAGGAAGATTTGTCTTATTGTATAGCACGCCTGAGGGCTCCGGTTGCTCCTAATGTGCCCCCTGCTCCCCCTGCGGATATAGCTATAAAAACGGGATCTAGTTAGAGTGATAGTGGTGGTGGTGATGGTGAAAGGAATGAGAGTGTTAAAAGAACTCCGTTAGCAGGGCGGACTCGCAAGGGGAGGAAGGGGCAGAAGGGGCCACAGTTAATTGCGCCATTAAGGGAAGCTGTGGGACCACAGGGAGAAAGGATACTTATAAAGGTGCCTTTCTCCCCCGGGGATTTGGTAATATGGAAGCAATCAGCGGGGAGTTATCGGGAGGACCCTGAAAGGGTGGCAAGGGTGGTTAAAATGGTAATAAAGACTCAGAATCCAGACTGGAATGATTTACAGGTATTATTAGATACTATAATGGATTCCACAGAAAAGGAAATAGTTATTAAAGCCACTAGAGAAAAGGCTCGTGAGGAGATACAGTTGAGACAACTAAATGAAACAGTTGATGAATTGGTACCTAGTGAGGAACCAAGGTGGGACCCAAACTCTACGGGAGGAATAAGGGCTGTAAAACGATATCAGGAATTGTTGGTGGAAGGAATTAGGACAGGAATACCTAAGACTATGAACTGGTCTAAGCTGTATTCGGTCAAGCAGGACAAGAATGAGTCACCGTCTGCCTTTTTAGAACGATTAAAAGACATGGCTCGGAAGTTTACTAATTTAGATGTAGAGGATCAATCAGGAAAACTTCAATTGGCATTGTTGTTTATGGGGCAATCACAAGAAGATATTAGGAAAAAGTTACAAAAGTTGGAAGGAGAGGACACTCGAAGTTTGGACAAAATGTTGGAGGTAGCGTGGAAGGTATACAACGACAGGGAAAAAGAAACTGCAAAAAGACAACAAGCTAGTATTCTGGCTGTAATGCAACAGACAGGGGCAGGAGGAAGACCCATTAGGGGTCGAGGTCGGGGAGGAGCTAATCACGGACAAAGGGGGCTGGCAAGAGGTCGGGGAGGATTTGGGTTTGCACCTAATACGGGGAGGTTGGATCCAAACCAGTGTGCGTTTTGCCGACAGTTAGGACACTGGAAAAATGAATGCCCGGTTAGAGGAGGTATGGGCATGGGAAACATAGGATTAAGGACAGGTCCAATGGGGAATGCTCCTGTGGGAGGATTCACGGGAGGACCAGCAGAAGTCGCTCAAGCACTAGTTTTGGGAAACTATCAGAATCAAGGCTGACTAGAAAAGGATCTTAGGGTAGTTTTAGAGATAGATGGAAAGGATCAAGAATTTATGGTAGACACTGGAGCAACCTATTCTGTACTTAATAGACTATTGGGACCTTTGAGTGACACAACAGTACAGGTGGTGGGGGCAACAGGGAAGCTAGAGGAGCAACCATTTTTACAACCTTTAAATCTTAGGTTTGGGGGGAAGGAATTAGATCACCAATTCTTGTATATGCCAAACTGCCCCACACCCCTTCTTGGCAGAGACCTGTTGTCCCGACTTAATGTGAAAATAATATTTGAAGGGGGAAGGGTGAAATTGGAAATACCTGAGGAACAAATAGCAGGCATTTTTGTGATCAAGGAAGTGGATGCCTCTCCTATTCCAGAAGAAATTGAGCAGGCTGTAGTACCCTGGGTATGGGAGTCAGGGGTTCCCGGAAAATCTAAAGCTGCGCAGCCAGTAAAGGTGGAACTAAAGGAAGGGGCCCAACCAGTGAGGGTAAAGCAATACCCCTTGAAGCTTGAGGCAAGGAGGGGAGTAGCCCCATTAATTAAACAATTTTTGGCTCAAGGAATATTACAGGAATGTGAATCGGAGTATAATACTCCAATTTTTCCAGTAAAGAAACCTAATGGTAAGTACCGTTTGGTACAGGACTTAAGGGCTATTAATGAAATAGTGAAAGACATACATCCAGTTGTTGCTAATCCTTATACCTTGTTAACATCTGTATCGGAGGAGTTTAAATGGTTCTCAGTGATTGACCTCAAAGATGCCTTCTTCTGCATCCCACTGGCAGTAGAGAGTAGGAAATATTTTGCCTTTGAGTGGGAGAGTCCTGATTCTGGGAGAAAGAAGCAGCTTACATGGACCAGAATCCCACAAGGATTTAAATGGTCCCCCACTATTTTTTGAAATCAACTGGCCAAGGAGCTGGAGGAATGGAAGATAACCCAGGTAACAATATCCCCATCCTTGTATGTAGTCCTGCAGTACGTGGACCACATCTTTCTGGCTACTAAGGAAAGGGAAATGTGTGTGGAATTAACAATTAAATTACTCAACATGCTGGGCCAAGCAGGGTATCGGGTTTCTAAGGAAAAAGCTCAACTGGTTAAAAATAGCGTTATTTATCTCGGTTGTGAGATCACACAAGGGCAGAGACGTTTGGGAGTAAACCGAATAGAGGCAATATGTGCTATTCCTTTGCCTCGTAACCATCAGGAATTGAGATCTTTTCTAGGAATGGTGGGATGGTGTCGACTGTGGATCATGAATTTCGGTCTCCTAGCCAAGCCGCTGTATGAGGCCTTGAAGCAGCATCGGCTGGAGTGGACAACACAGCAAAAGAAGGCCTTCCAGGAATTGAAGCAGGCACTAAAGGAGGCCCCAGCCCTAGGACTCCCTGACCTGACCAAGGAATTCCAGTTGTACGTGAATGAGAGGCAAAAACTGGCATTGGGGGTCCTCACCCAGAAGGTGGGATCCTGGAAGAGGCCAGTGGGATACTTCTCTAAACAACTGGATTCGGTAAGTTCCGGGTGGCCCTCGTGTTTACGAGCTGTGGCGGCAACAATAATTCTTATTCAAGAGGCCCGGAAATTGACTTTGGGGGCAAAAATTAAAGTGTTTGTTCCCCATATGATCATGGCTGTTTTGGAGCAAAAGGGGGGTCACTGGCTATCATCCAGTCGAATGTTGCAATACCAGGCTACCCTGAGAGAACAGGATGATATTGAAATAAAGACTACTAATCATGTTAATCCAGCAGAGTTTTTACGCAGTGACCAGGAGGCTGGGGGACTGGTGCACGATTGCGTAGACGTAATTGAACAAGTATATGCCAGCAGACCCGACTTAAAGGATGAACCATTGGAAGACCCTGAATGGGAACTATACACTGATGGATCCAGTTTTGTCGAGAATGGCACTCGCTATGCCGGGTATGCAGTGGTAACATTGGATCAGGTAATAGAGGCAAAGGCTTTGTTACCTGGAACTTCGGCCCAGAAGGCAGAGGTGATTGGACTCACCAGAGCCCTGTATTTGAGCAAGGACAAAAGGGTTAATATCTGGACAGATTCTAAATATGCCTTTGGTGTGGTTCATGTACATGGGGCGTTATGGAAGGAAAGGGGGCTATTGAATTCACAAGGAACCAACATCAAGCACCGGGAAGAAGTGCTACAGCTACTGGATGCAGTACATAGTCCCAAAGCAGTTGCAGTTATGCATGTTAGAGGACATCAGACTGCAGAAGGAGACGTTTACAGAGGAAACCGATTTGCTGATGTTACAGCACGGCAAGTGGCACGGGAAATATGGACTCAAATGGCATTGGTACCGGTAAGAACGAATCCGGCTACCCCATAC